TTAGGCTCCAAACGGTAGAGTTCTTCTGGTATTCTCTCTTTCTTTCACACCCCATTTCAAATGCACCAGAGAATACTGTCTGCTCCATCCTCAAAATACATCAAGGCTCCAATCACTTCTCACCGTGTTCATCGCCACCTTCTTGGCATAAGCCACCATCCTCCGTTTCTGAATTATGGCTATAGCTCCTATTTGTTCTTCTTGCTTCCATACTGGCTCCAATACAGTCAGAATAAACTTTTAAACATGCATAGTCTGCATGTCAGACTATGTCGCTTCCTGGCTTCAAACTCTCCAAAGGTTTTTCCTGTCACTCAGAATAAAATCCAAAGAGTCGATAGGCCTCTCATCTTTCTGATCTCACCTCCTTCACTCTTTCTTTCTCACACTTCTCCATTCTCAGTAGTCTCTCTGCCATTCTCCAAGCACATCAAATACAATCTCCCTTCGGGGCCATTGTGTGTACGGTGCTCTCTTCCTAATACAACCCGTCCCCCAATACATATATGGATCCCTCACGTCCTTCAGGATTCTGTGCACAATTCACCTCATCCGAGCAGCTGATCCCACTCTGCTGCCTTTTTCTTCATAGAACTGTTATTGCCTGGCATAATCTACAACTGAAAATCTGTCTGCTTCTCCCGCCCCAAAATGTAGATTCTATGAAATTTATCTGTTTGAGTCCCTACTGGATACCCAGCTCAGTGGTTCAAGTAGCACTACTGGAACAAAGGAGCATTGTGCTGGAGGAGAATCACCGACACAAGGCTGGAAACAAATTAAGACCCACGCCCCAAATGGACTTTTTAGTTTATCATGAATTGGACTCCAGCTCCTCTGAAATAGTGGCTAGTGGAAATCAAGATCTTAGAGATTACCGTTATTCTTTTCTGAACCATTTAAGAGCAAGATGCAGACAGAATGCTTCATCCTACTACATAATTCAGCGTACATATTCCCCACATAAGGACATTCTTCTACATAGCTACAATATAAACATTCCAATCAGGTAATCAGCGTTTATAGGACACTACCATCCAATCCACAGACCTCATTCAATTGTGCCAACTGTTTGTTTTTCCTATCTGGTCCAGGAGTCGATCCAGACTTGTTCGTTGCATTTAGTCGTCATGCCTCTTAAGTCTCCTTCAATTTGGATCAATTGGTTTTTCTATCCTTCTCTGTCTCTAATGAGCTGAAAAGTTTTAAAGAATACGAGCCTGTCATTTTTTAAGATGCTTCTCACCCTGGGTCCATCCAATGTTTCTCCACGTTCAGACTCAGGCTGTGCATTCTGAGCAGGAGTCAACAGAAAAGAGGCTGTGCTCTACTCAACACATCACATCAGGAGGCACGTGATGCGACTCGTTCCCTTCCTGATGATGCCCATCTTGATCACCTGGTCAATTTGGTGTCTTCCAGGTTCTTTCTAATAAATTCCCCCTTGATCAATAAGTATTTTTCAGAAGATGCTTTAAGACTAAGCTGACATCCTGCTTCACATCAAACAGCCACCCACCAGCCTTGGCATCCACTGAGGAGTCCTGCCAAGAATCAACCAACATTGCCAAATGGTGACTTACTATTTCCATCAATCTTATTAGTTGGCATTATTCCATAAGGAAGAGCTCTCCCTTTTCTTTCCATTTATTTATTTATTCCATCATTATTTATCTATTCATTTATATTGGCATGGATTCATGGATTCCTGTCTTATCCAATAGGTTGTAATCAGTTACTATCACAATTTATTTTGATACTCAAATTGTCCCAGATTTGGCCAGTGGGAGCTCCTTCCTGCCCGCTCATGTGTCCTTTTAGCATGTTCCCATCATGCTTTGAGCACTTCCTATAAAAGTTTCCAAGCTTACTTTGTACTTTCCCAGCCCAAGTACTAGAATCTGCCCTGGTTCCATTTAATGGAGGATGGTACTTAGAAACCAAGATCTTCTGGCCACTTGATGTGTCTGTTGCTCTGGCCTCTGAATGAAAATAGCTATGGTGTATATGTGTATATATATATATATATATATATATATATATATATATATAATGATTTCACACTCATTTTGAATCCAATCCAACACCTCAGGGCTCTTTATGAAGCTGAACAGGATCCTGTAGGGCCCTCCTGGGTACAAATCCTTTCCGTGTCCCCCCGTTTTTTGTTTAGTAAATAGGCTTCATTCAGCCTCCTCGACCTTCCCTGGGTTCCAAAGGGCAGATTCAAATAGTTGCTTATCAGGGAAGGAGAAAGAAACAAAGGAGGCACAGTCAAGAAATAGCAGTGCAGCAACGGGGCAGGGTCCTGGTTCCTCCTCAAGGAATGTATATAACAATATCTTTGAGTTCCTCTGCAGGAACTAAGGCCCCTACCCAGGTGGAGGATGGCAACTTCAGGCTGAGCACAATATTGCTGGAACTCCGCTCACCAGCTCTGTTACCTCACCACCAGCCAATCAGAAAAAAAGTCTGCACACAGGGGAAGATAATGAAGACCCTGACCCCTTCCCCAAATGATTCTCCCTTTAAAACTTTTCATGGTCAAGCAGAATCTTTGGAATTGGTTTTTGGACACGAGTCTGCCTTCTCCCTAGGTTGCTGGCCTCCTGAATAAAGCAACCTTTCCTTTCCAACCAACACCTGTCTCTCGGGTATTGGCTTTTTAGTGGCCAGCAGCAGAACCTGAGTTCGATAATATTTATAGCTTTCTTTCCTTCCATATTCATAAATTCCTTCTCCCACACTAAGAAACCTGGCTCCCATTATATTTAATATTTTACTTATTTGCCCAATGTCCCTGTAATTAATCAATCTCTCAGCCAGGATGCTACCTCCTTGATCCTGCCATCTCCTCAGCCTCTAACTTTTCCTCTAAGGGAAGAAAACGACAGGGGTAGTTGTGCATTCTTAATGACACAGATTCACTAAGTTTTGTGGCTGGAGAAAAACTGCTAAGAGACAGAGAGATATGGGGAACCACTTTGGTTTGTGAGACATCTGTACAAAACCTCGCTGGGGGGTTTTAGGCAAAGGACTCAGATCTCTGGTGGTTCAAGAACCAGCAGCCAGGCATTCTTCACTTTTGCCTTTTTGGCATTAGGCACTATAAAAAGCACTGTCCCAATTGCCTAGAAGCCTATTTTCTAAAATGAATAAGTTAGGGAAATACAGAAACCCAGCACATCCAATACCATAGAGACAAATGCTTCTAAGTAGTTCTTTTTCTGCCTGCTTCTAATTTGGGTATAGCTGGGATTCTTTGCTCTCCCCTAACAGCCACCAGCTGTTCCTACTGCTTCTGGAAAAAACAGCAGTTGTACTGGTGGACAGCCATTAACAGATTTCTGTAAACATGCTAACTAAGGTCCTGGGGAAAAGGTGGACTTTTGTTTTCATCAAGAATGAGTCGAGTTCTCTGAAAGATTGCCAGTTGGGAAGTACAAGGTGGGTGATTAAGAACCATCATACAAATTGCTTTCGAGACGTGCTATCTCAAGCCAAAGAAACTGCTGGTGTGAAAAGATAACCACTCAAACATTTAACTGGTAAGGAAGTGTGCTGTGTCAAAGTTTTAAGAACACGACTCTAGAGGGGCTGTACTCTCCACTAACTAGTTGTAAGCTCTATGCACAACTGGAGAATATCCTATAAACAATAATAACCCAAAAAACCTGCCTTGCCTATTGAGGCTCTATTGATGCTCTAAGTCCTCTGTTACCAGTCATGACAACCAGAATAAACACAGTGAAGAAATAGCTCACCCAATTTCTTTTCTTACAGAGTTAGAAAACACTCATTCTATAGGAAAACAAATGCCACATGTTTGCTGCCAGAGGGTAAGAAAGAAGCCCATTTCTATACTCATTCTAATGCAGTGCAGCATCAGCATGACCTGGGAACTTGTTAGAAAAGCATATTCTGGAACCCACCTCACATGTACGGAATGAGAAACTCTGCAGCAGGGCCCATCAGTCTGAGTTTTAACACACACACACACACACACACACACACACACACTGGTGATAGTGACGGTGATGTACATTTAAATTTGATAGTCACTGCCCTAGATATTCCAGGCGTTGTGTTCGGAGGACCCAGCTACCAACTAACCTTACCAGTTGGCCCTAGGATGGGTAATTAGGGAAAGTTGTTTATGAGAGATACATACATTTCTCTACATTTGAGACGCAGGAAGTTGTTCCTCTCTTCATAGGTCAAGGGGTCGCTTCCCCTTTTGCCTCCACCTGGACCAAGTCGCAGATTAGGTTGAATTTGAGACCCGGCAGGGGTCGCTGCTGCCCATAGAGAGACCGAGGGAGCGTGGCAAGAGAAGCCTAGAATCTTTGACATCACATTAAGCTCCTCCTTGCACGCACACATTAGACACACACACAAACATATACAGACAGACACACACACACACACGGACCGCGTACTCTTCTCTGCCGGCTTGCTCCCGCTACCCCCGAGCCGGCCCCTCCCGCGGCAAGTGTGTGCCGGGCGCAGCCTGAGGGACGCGGCGCACAGCAGGGGCGGCCGCCGCGCCTCCAGCCGGACCCGCACGCCCCAGCGCTCGGCGACGGCAGCCGGGACTCCTCGCCGACACCCCGGGCTCGGAGCAGCCGCGCCCGCCCCCGCCGGGGCTGCAGGGCGCCGGGCCGCCACCCCGCACGCTCCCGGGCCCCCTGCCACCCCTATGAGAGAAGGAGAAGCCGGGCGAAGGAGCAGGACGCTCGGCAGCCGGACTCCGCCGCAAGCCCGGAGCGCCCCCTCCGCCCGCGGCCCGCCGGCGCCCGCGAAGCGAGATGCAACCGCCGTGCTTCGGCTGAAAAGGGAAGGGGCCGGCGCCACCCGCTCGCTCGGAAGCCGGTCCCCGCGGCGGCTGCGCGTCCCGGCCGCGGCCCCTCGGGCCCGGGAGTGAGCAGGAGCAGAAGGAGGAGAAGAAGGACAAGCGGCCGGCCCGGCGTTGGCCGGGGCTGGGGAGGAGGGACGGCGCGGGGGGAGCGCGCCGGGGGCGGGGAGGGGGCCCCGGCGGATAAAGATGGCAATGTCTCTCATCCAAGCGTGCCGCAGCCTGGCTCTCTCAACATGGCTGCTTTCCTTTTGTTTCGTGCATCTGCTCTGCCTGGACTTCACCGTGGCCGAGAAGGAAGAATGGTACACCGCCTTCGTGAACATCACCTACGCCGAGCCCGCGCCGGACCCCGGGGCCGGGGCGGCGGGCGGCGGCGGCACCACCGCCGAGCTGCACACCGAGAAGACCGAGTGCGGGCGCTACGGGGAGCACTCGCCCAAGCAGGACGCCCGCGGGGAGGTGGTCATGGCCAGCTCGGCCCACGACCGCCTGGCCTGCGACCCCAACACCAAGTTCGCCGCCCCGGCGCACGGCAAGAACTGGATAGCCCTCATCCCCAAGGGCAACTGCACGTACAGGGATAAGATCCGGAACGCGTTCCTGCAGAACGCCTCCGCCGTGGTCATCTTCAACGTGGGCTCCAACACCAACGAGACCATCACCATGTCCCACGCAGGTAAGCGGCCCCGGCGGGCGCGGGGCGGGGGAGGGGAGCCAGAGGAGGATGGAGGCGCCGAGAAGGATCCAGCGCCTGCCTCCTAGCTCCTTCCTGCGAAGTCCGTGCTTTGCGAAAGACGCGTCTCTGTTCCTCGGACCTACTAAGTTTTGCTCTGCGTCACTTCGTGGGGTTTACAATGAAGAGAGGACTAACAGCATTGGGGGCACCAGAGAATGCATTCCAGTTAGCATCGCGCCACTCGGACGAAGGTTGGCCGAGGGGGGCTAACTTTTCCGAGGAGGATCTGGTAGGTGGGGTGTGGGGGGTAGGGTTCGGATGTTGTTCTCGGCTAGTGAGCGGCCCCGCACCTGTTTGGAACCGGGAGATCAGATAACTCAGCTCTTCACTTGGGTGTGTGCATCAGGTATACTCCTGAGGCCGGCGTTTGTGTATCAGGAGGCGGGTAGGGTTACTGGTGCTGGCGCTCGTCACTGCCGACTTGCTCAAGTCGGGTTTCAGCTCTTCGTGGGAGATTGAGTACCGCTCCCCCGACCCCGCCCCGCGCCGCCCGCTGGGTTGACGCGAGTCATAAATAATACCGAAAATCCTGTGCTCTGCCAGGCTGTCATCCGGAGGAGCTGACAGGCGGGCGCGATGGTAAAGAGTAACAATCCTCAAAAAGCCACCAAGAGCATGGTGGCCATAAAGATATGCCTGCTTTTACAGTGTTGCTTTATCCTTTGCCCGCTTGGGAGGTTAAATATGCTGAAGGTTTTCTTTATGGCGAGAAGGAGATTTCAGGGTAGAAAGAATAAGCTTTTCGTAGTGATTGCAGGGTGCCGGGATGAGAAGTCCATGATTGTCCTAAAACTCGCTCTTTCCCTGTATGCCTGACATAACAGTGCTTCCGTGGTAGGAACAACAAAGTCCTCCCCAGGCTTGTCAACAAAAGCAGCTCGTTTTAGCAGCCTTGGCTCCTTGAGTCCAGGGTTACTTGTTGTTTCTGTGCGTCCGGAGAACCTTGCCCTCCTTCCCCAGAGGGGTTGCTGGGTTTGAGGCTGTGGCATCCGGAAGGAGAAGGAGGGAGTGGAAGTGACAGATGCATTTTCTGACTGGAGTCACCGAATCAAAACATTACCAAAATCTGGCTTTTAAAGAAAATAAACAGTTAATGCTACTGAAATGGAGTACCAGGCTTTGGCCACATGGCGGGTGGTGCATTCTCTGAGGACAAGTTTTCATTCCCAGAGCTCATGTCACCTATTAGGGAAATGTACAGTGGGTTTGCCTTTGGTAGTCAACACCAGCTGTTTCAGACAAGGAACTTGTCAACCCTAATGCAAACAGGTGGAGTGGGGAAAGGTCAGTGCTTCTAACACAGGGGCCAAAGATAATGCAGTGCACTAATTCATGAAGAGGAGGAAGGGACAGTTAACTTCTTGGAAAAGTTAGGATAGAGCACTGAGGAACATTTGGTATACTTTCTTGAGCTCATCAGTTTTGTAAGTGAAAAGACTGTACTCTGACCTTGAGTCATAAGAGCACTACTTAAACTTTATGACAGTCAAGGATGTGGAGGACTATGGAAAGAGCGTTTTAAGTCATGTAAAGTATCTTTAAAAGCATATTTAATATATAAACCTCCGTGGGGGGAGTGTGAAGGAGGGTTTTTGTTATTGTTGCTGTTCTTTAAACTCGCAGAAGATGGTTAGCTGACTTTGCAGGATCCTTTAAATGTTTCTTTTTGCATATGCGTGAAATCAAACTCTGCAGCTTCGAGCACAAAGTTAAGAGGCATCATTTGTTCCTGTCTAAAAAGAACTGCCAACACATTGGGTCAGTTAATGGCTCGCCTGTTTTTAAAGGAAGCCGTAAGCTGATTTGCCACACAAATGATGCTTGATTAAGATGTAGTGAGAATAAATAAAGGGCTTGGTGATAATTTGAAAGTTAGGCTAAAAAAATGTCAAGGAAATTCTCTACTATCTAACTGTTCTGTTTCCAAAAATGTGTTAACGTTGTATCTGCTAATAGCCATGAGGCTTCCATATTATCGTTTGATGTATTGCCACTTTAGGAGACTGGATTCACTTTAGTCATAGATTGCATTGATTTCTGCTAAAGTCTCATTATAAGGAGATCCATGACAGGGTGGTTTGGCGAACTTTTAACTCTTTCTACCTGAATGTGAACCAGTGCCAGCGCTTGTCTGGCTGTCAGTATGTTACACTTAGCTCTAGAATGTGAAGGCTGTACTTTTTCTAGTTGAATTTAGAATTCTCACTCAAATTTATCTTAGGAAATGGTGTACATTTTAGATGCTAATCAAATATTCTTATTCTGTGAACATGGGATGCAATATAACAGAGGATCCTTACACTTGTGAACTTTTTACTTCAGTCTCCAAAAAGTGAACATCAGCCTTTGCATTTTTAAAAAATCTCCCCTCTCCTCTAGATCCTTTATTTTCAGCACTGATAGCTTTCAGGTGAGGAGGAAGTCTGAATTTAGTGTTATGCACCCCACTGTGTAATATCTATGCATCTGCCGTGATGTGACCCCAACACACCCACTATCTTGAAATTCAGTTAAATAGAAATCATTTCCCCTTCCCCTTTCCATAGAGCCTTTCTTTCTGATTTTTCCTTTCCCACTTATGATTTTGGGTTTCTGACAGTTCTGCAATTATGGCTTCTTATTCACAAAGACACAGATTATCCTGGGATAGACTAGTAGCTTTAGTTTGTAACCAGTTCTTTTAAATCTCTCTAAAAATATGAGCACATTGAGAGAGAGTTCACATAGCATAGAGTTCACTCATTTAAAGTATACAGTTTAATGGCTTTTCCTCTGCCAACAGAGTTGAGGACCCTCACCACTGATTCCAGTAAGAAACCCTGTGTCCATTAATAGTTACTCTTCATTACTCTCCAATATAGCAGCCCTAGTTAACCACTAATCTCCTTTCTGTCTCTGTTTGCCTATTCTGGACATTTCATATGGATGGAATCAAGTAATATGTGTTCTTCTGTGATTGGCCTCTTTCACCAGCATAATGTTTTCAAGGTCTGTCAACGCTGTACCATGTCTCAGTACTACATTCCTTTTTGTTACCCAATAATATTTCCTTCTATGTTTATACCACATTTTCAAAATTCATCAATTAATGGACACTTAGGTTCTTTCCACTTTTTGGTTATTATGCATAATGTTTCTGTGAACATTCATGTACAAGTCTGTGTGTGGACATTTCTTTTGGGTACACAGCCAGGCGTGAAATTTCTGAGAAGTCTGGGTCATATGGCAACTGTATGGCTTAACCTTTTAAGGAACTGCACGATTGATTTCCAGAGAAACACACCATTTCACAGTTCCACCAGCAGTGTAGGAGGAACATTTAGTAGGTGGAACATTTCTCTACATCCTCATCAACACTTGTTGTTATCTGTCTTTGATTTTGGCCTTCCCAGTGGTTGTGAAGTGGTATCTTCATTGCCGTTTTTGTTTGCGTTTCCGAGGACTAACAGTTACTTTTTAACATAATATTAATTCTTCCTCTGCTTTTCCTTTTTCTCCTTTTTCCCTTGCTCGCCGTTGTTTTTTCAGCTCAAACACGTTTTGTCTTAAAGAAGAAAGGAGATTAATAGAGAAAAGAGATCTACCTCTTCCAATTATGAAGGAAAAATAAAACCCATGGACCAGAGACTTTCTATGTCCCCTCTAAAAGGATGTGAGGAACTGCATCTTTTGTGCTTTAGAGAGCTTCTTCCCAGGTTGGCTTTGTGAAAGAGCAACCGGAGGGCTTGAGTAAAAAGCTATGTAGAAATCCAGCCTCCACCTGAAGGCCCCAGAAGTACACTTCCAGGTACAGGTAAAAGCAGCCAGACCCAGGCTTCCCTGGTGGCGCAGTGGTTGAGAGTCCGCCTGCCGATGCAGGGGACACGGGTTCGTGCCCCGGTCCGGGAGGATCCCACGTGCCACGGAGCGGCTGGGCCCGTGAGCCATGGCCGCTGAGCCTGCGCGTCCGGAGCCTGTGCTCCGCAACGGGAGAGGCCCGCGTACCACAAAAAAAAAAAAAAAAAGCAGCCAGATCTAAACCATCTCCTTGGAGCTGGTCAGATGCCTGTGAACCGTGAGGGAAGTGATAGCAGCTATTTCTAGAGGCGGTTTTGGGAAGTGGTAAGTTAGCAGTTTAGCCTCTCGCCAGCCCGTTGAGTTTGTGTCCTGCTTCTGCTACTTCCTCACTGTGGATCTTTGAGCAGGTTAGCCTCTCAGGACCTCAGTTTCCTCATTTATGAGATGGGGGAGCCTCAGTTGTTTGGTATGAGAATTAAATGAGTTCACACACGTACAGTGCTTGCGTCCGTAGCTGGCACCTAGCCATCAATACATGCTAATTCTCATAGGCATTGTGCACAGTGACACACAGGAGCTCCTGCACGGATCACCAGACCCCGGGGGTCACTGAGGCTCCGGCAGCCTTAGGAAAGAGCTCTGTATTGACCCTCTCCTGCTTTAGACACCAGAGCCATCGTGCCAATTTCTCTTTGTGGTTTCTGTGATTCGAGACAGGGTGTCCCAGCTCCCTCTTGATGGCTGGTGAATATTTGAGGATTCTCCTGTGGCATTTGTGCTTTCTCTTGGGTTAAACTGAAATCTCATCGGAGCAATATGAGATGTATCTATATATGGATTACATATATTTATATGATAAACATGGTAGATCAGTAAGTGTTTGGAGGTGGTTAAGTGTCTCTGAGTTGTGATGTTGAAGAAATGATGCATATTTTTTTTTCCTTTTTTGAAGAGTGTGGTTTGCTATCTTCTCATCTTTCACTAGTACATAGTTAAAGGGAAAGGAGGAAACTAAACATCTAGGAAGAACTTTTGAGAGACTGGATTCCTAATAGTAACTTAGAGATGGAGCGAGGGAGGAGATGGTTGCAGTAACTATTCAGAAAATAAGCTCAGCCTTTGGCGAGGAGGAACCCAAGATGGAGTATATCTCATGTATTCTA